CTGCTGTCAACAGCCATTGCAACTGACACTTGACAAAGCAGTTTTCCTCCAACTCATCTGGTGTACTCAACAGGTAGCTCAAATTAGGCATCCCAAAAGTATAGCACCTCAGGGATGGAAGGGAAAAGCACTAGGAGAAAGAAGAATAACATAATACAAAGATGTACAGTATGCAGAGGAGACGGGGTCAAAGCCACCAGGATTTCTGAGAAGAGGAAGAAAAGAGGTTGTTAACCCACTTGGCCTTTGGCCAGGACATGGAGACGCTTTCTAAAAGACACCCTGCCTTTTATAAAGTGCAAGGACAGTTTAGTGTTCCCAGATGGTCTTTGGTTTATGGCAGAGCTTGGTTGGTGAACTCTGAGAAACGGGACGATAGGGCCGTGCCAGGCCAGGGCTGATGAGCACTGCCAGAGTGCTCTAGCAGAAAAGTTTGCTCACTGTCTGCCTGCTGAATTCTTGAGTCTCGTCAACACTGTTCCACTTTCCCTCTGGCGCTGGTATTAAATTCATCTGCTGCAATGACATCCAGATCCCAGATGGTCTTTGAAGGGTTCAGTTCCCCCAAGTAGTTTGCCTTGGGATTTGGTATCAGTCTGAGAGAGCAGGAAACTCAAAAACTTGGGAATTTGCTTCCCCAGCAGGTTACTCTACAGTAAAGCCCTCAGCCCTCAGCTGAGCTCAAGGAGCAGCAGTGAGTCAAGGAAAGCCAGGCAGCAAGACCATTTAAAGCAGTTATTTTTGTTTCTCATTCAAATACATGCCTCCAAACAACAGTGCAGTACTGCCTGGCTCATGACCACTGAATTACTGGGGCATACCTGCAATCAGTTTCACCAAATTGGATGTGAGTCCTGCTATCAGAGATCTCCATTATATGGAGATTAATTAGCCTGTTCTGTGACTAATTATGGACATTAAGTCTCCAGCACTATCATTCCAGGCTCTATCCTCTGCACTCTGAAAACACCTAGCACATCTTTAGTGTCTTGTCCTGCGCTTCCACCCAGTGCTAAGCTTGAGCTACACTTAAAAATCAGGTTTTTAGGGGAGAAGAGTAAATCTGATTCTTTCCCTTTGGCCCCAGGATTGAATTTGCTGTCACTAAGCTACGCTTTGGAAAGGGGAGCTGGGGAAAAAAAAAAAGATAATTTTAATACCTAGTGACAAAGCCATTGGAGCAGCATGGTTCCAAAATTCAGGGATTAGGGCTGTAAAGAAATGTATATACTTTCCTGGTAACAAAACCCAGCATCAGTGGGAACACCTTCTCTCAGTAATGCTTGCTCTGTTTTAAATTTATTGCTTATTTGTCCTACATGTGGGACTCTTTCTTAAAGCTGTGCTGTCTGTTGGAGAGCCCCCATGCAGTGTCGCTCTATCCTGCAAACCCTCCATCAGCTCTGCTTATGGACTTCTTAAAACAGCTCCTTTCGGAGCTGGGAGGAACTTTGTCACTGCCCTTGTCTCCCGAGTGCTGAATTCATCATGTTTAGGTTTATGGAGCATTTGCCTTGGGCTGTCGTCTTGTACAGGAGGGAGGGATGGGAGGGAGGCGAGTCATTCATTAACTCGATAAGAAGATTTCATATGATTTGTGTTCTCCTTTGGAATGTGCATTTGTGACTGATTAATCTTAATGGAGACTCTGTGCTGAGGGGAAGATAAAGCCTCTGGAATCTCTTAGGCAATAAGATGATCTTGTTCATTCTTGCTGTAGGACAGAAATTAATTTTGCACAACTCCTTGCATAGTTTACTAATCCATTAACGTGTCTTCCCCCCAATTGTAATGCATCCTTTTGAAGACAATTAAATATACAATACAAGAGCTATTGAATGATTACTTCGTTCTTGATGGCAATAAGGGCAAATCTGTTAAGTGTAGCTTTTTTTTTCTTCTAATGAGAGGTATGGGTTGAAAAGCTGGTATTCACCTCAATTTTAAATGACTGAAAAGTGCGCATTCCACCCATGACTTCAGAGTCTGGCTTACATGAAACTTTACCCCCACCCCCATAAAATGTGTCAAATATGTGAGTAGAAATATATCAGTCTCAGTGTCTCAGCCTCAGTAAGAATTGTTTTACAAGGAGCCAAAAAGTAAATGTCCCTTAAACCTTGGCAGAACTGGTAGTACTCATGAACATGAAAATTCTAAGTTGGACGGGTAAGTTAAACTTTTTTTTTTTAAAACTAAAGCCTAATGATTTCTGGGGCTATTGAAGCATCTCGTCTGGACCGATATAATGGGTATGACACCCAAACACCTATGTAGGATGAGAGCACAAACCGTCAGGGCTCCCAGTAGGGGCTGAGTTCTGTGTGTGGGGACTAGAAAGAGCTCCGTTTGTAGATGAGCTGTTGCCAGGTTTTCTTTAGGGTCCTCGCACCTTCTGGTGCACGTGGTGTCGGCTATTATTAAAGATTTAACTTGGAGTTGCTAGCGTGATCTGCTGAGAGGGTTCCCATGTTCTTCAGTACTACAAAGGCTCCTGCTATCCTGTCTCAAGACACCGCGGGTTTGCTGAATGCAACCTTCCAGGAAGGTGCTGATCCGTCAGGAACCGGAGCCGATCCGTTACCTAGATAGGTGCCTAATGGCTTCCTGAAGGAAAGCAGTATACTTCCCCAGTGCCAGAATTTTGCTAGAGTGTGTGTGTTCGCTTGGAAGAAACTTGCTCTTAGGTGTGTACGACTTGCAGCATAATGTATAATTAATTATACATTATAATCCCAGGCTTGTGAGATGTCAAAGTACAACTGTAATTAGGATGCACGAGCTAATTTCTCAAAGCAATCCGGAGGTTGTATCTGCACTCGGCTGCTGTCAGCCAGGAGGGCATTTGATTTACTGTGGTAGATGACTGCCTGGTACAAATAGGCTTAACTTTGACAGCTTCATTAAGAAATACGAGCCAGCGGACCCCTCGAAGGTATGAAGGTTCAGGGAATGTTTTTACTGCTGCCAAGATGAAGGAAAAGATTCCACCCCATACAAAATCGGTGCTGGCTGTACAAGCCGAGTGTGGCGTCTCCCTTCTAGACAGTGGAATGTGCTCAGAAAATGGCCTTCAAGTGCAATTATAGAGGTTTGTTCAGTGCTCGCCTTCTTCCTTTTGTGCTAAGCAATACCGCAATCAAATCTTTATTAAACATGTGATATATATTCTTTGACCCAAGATGAAAAGTGAAATTATTTTAATATAAAAAATATAAATATCTTTTATACAATACAAACTGCAGATAAAAAAATTAATTATTTTGAGGAATGGGGGGGGAGTGCTTGGGGTATTACCTTGTAACAGACACTGACTGCTTTGCTGCTGTAGTTGTTTTCCAAAACGCGTGCATGGCGCGAGGGGACCACGCAGCAGAGCCAGCGCTGCCCTTGGAACAAGCCATGGATCTGCTGGTAAAAAAAAAAAGAGGTGAGTGATAGAAAAATCTCATTTTTGAGAGACTTACTCAAGAAACACGAGCATTTAAAGAAAAAAGAGACCTGCACGGCCGCCCCGGCCTGTCCCGGGGCTGCCTCCTGCCTTTGCGCCCTTCCAGGCTGCGGCCCCCTTCCTGACTTCCACAGCTGCTTCCCTCCCTCGCCGCTTTCACCTCGCCTTTCGCTTTACAAGCGGTTTGATTCGGAGCGGGGTTGCAGGCGGGGGGCCCCTCCGCCTCGGGGCCGAGCTTTTCCCCTGCGCGCCCCTTAGCAACGCCACCGCGCTCCCGTTGCTACGGAGGCGCGCGCCGCCCGCCCTAGTTTGTCCTTCTCCGCTCCCCGTCCCCCGCCCAGCGGTCCCGCC